CAGCGTCTCCCGCTCCAGAGATTCTGGCGCGCAGAAACCGGTGACAAAGTGACCCGGGGGGTCGGGGTCCGGAACCCACGGAGGCCTGTCGGGACGGGACCTCAGTCGAGCTTTCGCGTTGTATCCTGGGGATAGCGGTTCTCGGACGGCCGCGGGAGGGCTGCCCTGGGTGAGCGTCGCTGGCGTCCTGCCAGCAGGAGTTTCGAGGGACGGCGGCTCGAGGCTCGCGGCATCGGGTTGGGCCTTTGAGAAAGGCTGGGAGAGGGATGAGCATTCTCCTCTCTCTTTTGGGGGGCTTGGGTGTACCCATGAGGACTGAGGCTGAGTGTTGTGTGTTCCTGGGTGCGCATGGGTTTCTCTGCGAAGATGTGGAGAAAGCAGACTGTGAGGGCGTGAAGGGGAAATTGAGGCCCACACAGGTCGCGGTTTCTTTCTGTGTTCGACAGCTGACTTAATCCAGGACGGAACTGTTAAGCAGGGGAAGTTGTTCCAACCCCTTCCTTCTGTCAGAGCCCTCAGTGCCCGTTTCCTCGTGGCTTATTTTGATCCCGCACCTCTCATCTCAGCCCTTGAGACATCCAGTGTGCAGCCACGAACTTTTTTCTCTTTGTCACCAGATGAAGTGTTTTTTAAAGATCAAGTAGAGTTTGTTGACAGGTGGAGAGAGTGTAAAGAGCCTTCTATGTAGTAAGACCGCCAAGAGCAAAGGACTTAGACTGTGAGGGACTAACTAGAGGTTAAATTTTGATGGGGAAGGGGTGGTTGGTGTGGAGAGCAGTGAATGGTGGGAGGTAAATCTGGCAGAGTGTCCTTTGGGGGACCAGAAGGCACATGTTGGAATTATTTGGCAAGTTTAAAAATCTCTAGGACGCAAGATAGTTTGATAATTGGGCAGAAGGATTAAGAAAGGCATTGTCTCCCATAATACAATTTGGTACTAGTGAGGATTATGTTCGTCCTCATATGGAAATGATTGTCTTTGAAAAGTCTTGTAATTGATAGACTAATGAGAAGAGCAATGAAATGGAAAGAAAGAAAAAGAGAATAGGAAGAGGGCAAAAGAGGTACACTGAAGAAAGAGGGAAAGCAGATGCCTGAACTGCTGCGTTTTGATTGGTAAATGGCATGGGACACCTGGCTTCTTCATAACTGGATGTGGTAGCTCAGGGCTGGGGGATTTTTCATATGTGCAGATGCTACTCTGGAGGTAGCCTCTGGTATATTCTGTATTTGTAAAACTGTTCTTTTAGGGTTTTCAAGATAACAATATTGACCACTCCTAACAGTAACTTCTCAGTTCCTTGGACATTAGGAATTTATTTTTTTTTATTTATTTTATTTTATTTTATTTTTTTGAGGCAGAGTCTGGCTCTGTTGCCCAGGCTAGAGTACAGTGGACGATCTCAACTCACTGCAAGCTCCGCCTCCCGCATTCACGCCATTCTCCTGCCTCAGCCTCCTGAATAGCAGGGACTATAGGCGCCTGCCACCACGCCCTGCTAATTTTTTGTATTTTCAGTAGAGATGGGGTTTCACCGTGTTAGGCAGGATGGTCTCAATCTCCTGACCGCGTGATCCACCCACCTGAGGCCTCCCAAAGTGCTGAGATTACAGGTGTGAGCCACCGCGCCCAGCTGAACACTAGGAATTTATAATAGCATGAATTAGATTAAGAAAATGATGCTGAAATTGGTTTACTTGCAGCCGCAGTAGAGAATAACATATCAAACAAAACTGAAGTGAAAAAGAAAAGCACAATTTATTTACTTTAGCTCAAGTTAAGAGCCTTGAGCAGCAAATGGTAGGATGTCAAGACTGTAGATAGCCAGGTGTGAACAGATTGTAGCAGGCTGAAGATTCAGGAGCAGATACAGATAAACCCAGTGTGGCCCTAGCCAAGAGGTCCGGATCACTTCCCTCTTCTCACAGAATCCTGCAGAGATGGCAGCTATTCTTCAGAGTGTGTTATACGGTCTTCATTGAGGCTTATCTGAATGTGGGGAATCTGGTGATTATATGGTTTGTTCCAACCTTCAAATAAGTCATTGGCACACACTCCTTTGACAAAGTCATTGGATCTGATGTGCTTGGGAAGAAATCTTACAGACAATCTGGCCCAAGCTTCTATTTTTTATTTTTCCAGATGACAGAATGGGTTGGCTTAAGTTCTAAAAGCAGTTAGAGCCAAGATTTGATTCATTAGACCTACTGCTCTTTCTGAGATTACAGAAAAGTTGCACTTGTGTCTCAAGTGCACATTTATTCAGTAGGACTAGAGTTGACCCTCAATTTTTTCTTTTCTTTTTATTTTTTGGTGATGGAGTCTCACTCTGTCACCCAGGCTGGAGTGCAGTGGCACGATCTCAGCTCACTGGAACCTCCGCCTCCTGGGTTCAAGTGATTCTCCTGTCCCAGTCTCCTGAGTAACTGGGATTACAGGCGTCTGCCACCATGCCTAGCTAATTTTTGTATTTTTAGTAGAGAGAGGGTTTCACCATGTTGGCCAGGCTGGTCTCGAACTCCTGACCTCAGGTGATACACCTGCCACGGCCTCCCAGAGTGCTAAGATTACAGGCATGAGCCACCACACCCAGCCTGACCCTCAATAAAATGATACTGCCGTATAGGAAATGGTTTTGATATCCTCCCCTCTACCTCACAGTTTCCCATAATCAGAAATTCCATACCTCATTATGAAATTGCTGCCCCTTGTCTACCCTCAATTAACCATTGTGAGAACACATCTGATCTGCCAATACTGTAGGCTCTAGAAGACTATTTGCCCTTCAAAACTTACTCTTAACCCACTGTATAGATTTTTTAAAAAGTTTTTCGAAGAATATGTAAAATGAGATTTGGAGTTTAATTAAAATCAGAACAGGGATACATTAAACAAACAAAAGATACTTTTCTGATTATCAATTTTTGAGACTCAAAGCATCCCCAAAACATTGGCAATCCAGCTTATTCCTGAGAGACAGCCATCACAAAAGGTTTTCACTCTGTACTATTCACATTTTTGTAGCAGAAAACAGAACAAAGTTCTGCAGACATCCTCTCGTCTTTCTAAAATGTGTTCACAAACAGGGTCTTTTCATAGTTCAAAAGGAAAACAAACAGGTTTCTTTCATGGCCAAATGGCCTGTGACTCTCACCCTGGGATCTGATTTCTAAGAAAGTTCAGGACACCAAATCCAACCAGAAATTCCCAGGACACCAGTGGCTACTTAACTATGAGGGGATGGATGCTTTAGTCTTTCTATGAGGGGAGTCATTCTCCTGGGATTGTTGTACCTGTCAATAGTCCCAGGAGAGGTAGGTGGGAATGCAAAAGCTAAAGGGTCAGAGAAAAGAATGAGTCTTTCACGAACAACCCATAACAAGGCAGAATGGTCCAGTTTTACAAACCACCCACTATGAACTCCAAACATGCACACCCAAAACTGGAGGGGAAAGGAAAGAGCTCCTGAGAGATGAGGAGAAACAAAAGATGGTGACATAGAACAGCAGACTCGCCTATGAACATTTCTCACCTTCCTAACACTGGAAGATGTTTAATTAGAAAGTTGCTGTTCAAAATGGTACTGAAAACATATTTAAAAATAGGTCTGTAGTCATCTTAAAAATAAAAGGTCACTTCTCAGATAAGAGGAGTGACAGATATTCTCAGATGCTAACACTTGAGGTATCTTTGATGTAAATTTGAAAAATGGCCAGGTAGAGAAAAAGGAAGGAAAGGAAGGAGAGAGGGAGGTAGGGAGGGAAATTCAGAGTCTGATAGGAAAGGCAAGAAAACTGGGAGGAACACATTTTTTAAGCCCATGCTTATCTATCTCAGCAGCCAAACAAAGCAGATCCACAAAGGGAAAAAAATGCAGTTATTTTCTAAGAACATTCTGAAAATCGACTTCAAACTCAAAACATAAGGAACTGCAATCTGAGAACAGCTATCACAATGCTAACTGGACTTAAAAATGACTACTGAGACTGGGTACTCAAATGGGTCAATGCTCTTCAGAGGTCATTCTTAGGCATTATCTGACACGATACTATGATCAGGCCTTACCCACCAAGTGGAGGCCAAAGTGCCTCTATTACTTGCTATGGACCTGCTCTAGGAGCCGACAAAATCACTTGGCTTTCTTGAAGTACAAGAGGACTCTGCCAGCAACAAGATGCAGGCAGGGAGGAATGGCAGAAGAAGAGCAAGACTGGTTACCAAGGGCTCTCTTCTGATGTACAGAGTTAAAAATGACTGCACAAATGTGCTAAGTAAAAGAATGGGAAGATGAACTGTAATACCAAAGACAGAAGACATTCCTCCCAGAGGAAAGAAGGGAAGTGGACCTCAAAACAGTGTCCCAGGGTAATGCTACCAGAGTTGCACAAACTGTGCTCTGTCCCAAGGGACAAATACCTGAAGGTAAAAAGGAAAAGCAGCTCTCTCCTTATCATTTCCCCCTGCTGGTTTTAAAGACCCAAGTCCAGAATCTTGCAGCACTGAACCATAGGTGGGATACAGGGAGGAGAGGCAGAGGGTAGGGAATATGAATGGTGTTAGGCCCCCCAAGCCTCTGTATCCTTTCCCCAGACTTCCCCATTTCTTCCCAAGCACAACAAGAAGAAGCCAGGCAGTTGTAGGTTGATATTGGGTTTGGGACAAAATTGCGGGGTATGAGGGTGACTCAATAAAGGAGAGCCTAGGAGGCCGGGCACGGTGGCTCACGCCTGTAATCCCAGCACTTTGGGAGGCCGAGGCAGGCGGATCACAAGGTCAGGAGTTCGAGACCAGCCTGGCCAATATGGTGAAACCCTGTCTTTACTAGAAATACAAAAAGTTAGCCCAGTGTGGTGGCACACACCTGTAGTCCCAGCTACTCGGAAGGCTGAGGCAGGAGAATCGCTTGAACCTGGGGAGGCGGAGGTTGCAGTGAGCCGAGATCATGCCACTGCACTCCAGCCTGGGAGACAGGGCAAGACTTCGTCTAAAAAAAAAAAAAAAAAGAAAACTAGGAAAGCCAGAGTTTAACTGTTTTCCTCTAAGGGATGCTTAGCTCTACAGAAAATACACCAAGGGCCTTCAATCTAACTTGTTTAACTGGGAAGGGGAACAGGAGACAGGGAGAAGAAATGGTCAGATGAAGCTTATCTTCCTATCATCATTTGGCACCCAGAGGAGGAGTGGGAGGTGGAGAATGTAATGGGGACTGCTGGTATTGCCTCTTCGGTCTTTTCACTGTTGATCCTATTGGCCAAATCAGGTGCATTCAGGTGTCCCTGTTGCTGCTTTTCTTCTAATCCTTGCAGGAGAGTCAGATGTCCATCTCCAACTGGCACCACCCCCAACTGCATGTTTCTTGTCAGGGTTGTTCAAATTACTGACTTCTACTTTGGAGCCTTCACTTAAGGTGCCAGGGCTAGTGACTCCTGGGATATTGGGCAGATGGCAGGGTGGGGTCCTAGCCATGGGAGAACTGCGAAGATCCAACAGAAACTTTCTATCATAAATGATTCGAGTTCCTCCTGGTGTGGTGGAGAAGAGCGTCCCCTCGGGCGCCGTGCAGTGGTCATGAGGTAGCTGCGCGGCGTAGCTGATGACCACGGTGTGGGTGGGGAAGGCGCGGCTCTGGCTGGGCGGATGGCCGCTGCCGGCGGAGGAGGACATGGCTGTGGGCGCGGGCTCTGGGCTTTGTGTGGCGGGTAGGCGGCGGCGCCGGGCCGGTCTGCTCCGGCCCCTCGGGCGGGCGGAAAAGCGTGCTCTGCGCTCTCCTCGCTCGCTTCCTCTGGTTCCCTCGTCCCGCTACACCCCTGCCTCTGGATCTTCCAGCCTCAGCAGCGGCGGCGACGACGATGACAGGAAGCCTATATAACTTTTTTTGTTTTTGTTTAAGTCTGTAAATAGGGATAACTACTTCAATGATTTTTATGAACATTTGATAAAACAATACAACAATTTTTATTGCTCAGACCCCTGGGCTTGGCTGTCTGGTTTTTTAAAGTTTTACAAGGGGTCAGGCACTGTTTCTTACGCCTGTAATCCCAGCACTTTCGGAGACTGAGGCAGGAGAATCGCCTGAACCCAGAAGTTCAATACCAATCTCTGTCAACAAAAAATAAAAATTAGCTGGGCATGGTGGCACGTGCTTGTAATCCTGGCTACTTGGGAAGTTGAGGTGGAAGAAATGCTTATGCCCAGGAGATTGAGGCTGCAGTGAGCTATGATTGCACCACTGCACTCCAGCCTGGGCAACAGAGTGAGATCCTGTCTCTAAATAAATCAGTAAATAAAATTAAATCTAAAGACCCCGGTCTCACTGTGCTTCTCCTACCCCTAGTTCTCTAGGTCACAGCCTGGGAAGCCTGAGGAAGGATAAAAAATAAGACTGAAGGTATTGTCTCAACTTTCAGGTTCTAGGCTAGGAGTAATTTAATTGATAACTTTCATTGTAGTGGAGGATGTACTAATTAATTTAATTCTCATCTGTTAACATTTTGGTCATGAGTACTTTAGCTGTGACTTTTTATATTATGAAAAAAGATAGGCATCAGGTGTGTGGGTCATCTGGATTAAGCCCATTAAAGTGAGTGTAGAGATTGTTTAGTTGTTAGCAGTATTACCAGATAACTGCAACATAGGAAGATTCTTGAGGATCTTGGCCCTCCTTCTAATTTAAGAAGATATAAGGAAAGAATTTGAGAAATATATTCTCAGGGTCTCAGCAGAGAGGATTCCAATATTTTTTTTTTTTTTTGGTCAATATCCATGCTCAAAATGCTACGGAAAATGAGAGATGATGCTGTGTTATATGCTGGGCCAAGGATGCTCTCTGGAGTTTCTTTTGAGAGATGAGATCTTGCTCTGTCACTCAGGCTGGGGTGCAGTATCGTGATCATAGCTTGCTGCACCCTTGAACTCCTGGGCTCAAGCAATCCTCCTGCCTCTCAGTCTTGCAAGTAGTTGGGATTATATGTGCAAGCCACTGCTCCCTGCACTCTCTAGGGTTTCTAAGCCTGACTTTAAGGTATAATTCAGAGCCTAGGCTTCGTGGTCAGACAAATATGAGTTTAAATCCTAGCTCTGCCACTGATAGCTGTGTGACCTTGGACAAGTTACATAATTTCTCTCAGCTTTAGTCCTCTGCCTGTAAAAATGATATGTTAGCAAACTATGTCAGGAGGGTATGTAGGGGGATAGCATAAGATGAAGAACAATATGTAGTGCACCTAATACAGTGCCTCACACCTAGAAGGTACTAAATGTGAATGTGAGCTGTTCCAGAGCCAAATTGTAAAGATCCAGGGAAGCCTGCCAGCTAGGGGATTGCTTGACGCAACACTTACAGCCATTTATGGAGACAGACACTTCTCTTAAGGGTACAGCAGTAGGGAAATATTTTGTCCCACTAGCACTGGTTTCAGCTTCTTTTTTCTTGATTAAAAAAAAAAAGCAACATTTCTTCTGAGTTTGGGTCTTGTTTCTAGGGAGACCAAAGAAGGGGGAAGAATTATTGTGGAAGTTGATGGCAAAGTGGCGAAAATCAGGAATTTAAAGGTAAGCCTGAAATTGTTTTTCATTTTCTTTCCACTGAGGAGCTAATATTGCTACAGGGGCTTCCAGGCTGAAGGTGTATATGTGAATGTGTTGAGAGTTGGGGAGGGAAGGGTATATAAGGGGAATAGTAGGAAGAGCTTGTGCCAATCATAAAGCAAATTAAGAAATCAAGAAGGTGGCCGGGCGCAGTGGCTCACGCCTGTAATCCCAGAACTTTGGGAGGCCGAGGCGGGCGGATCACGAGGTCAGGAGATCGAGACCATCCTGGCTAACATGGAGAAACCCCGTCTCTACTAAAAATACAAAAAATTAGCCGGGCGTGGTGGTGCACGCCTGTAGTCCCAGCTACTCGGGAGGCTGAGACAGGAGAATGGCGTGAACCCGGGAGGCGGAGCTCGCAGTGAGCTGAGATCACGCCACTGAACTCCAGCCTGGGTGACAGAGCGAGACTGTGTCTCAAAATAACCAAATAAAAATAAAATAAATAAATAAAATCAAGAAGGAAGTGCAGGGCATTTGGCTGCTGCAGCCTAAGTTTTATCAAATAGGGTGCAACTGTTTGGGAAATTAGTTGGTAGATGTTTTGAAAGTAAACTCGGGATGTTTTGGGGGCAATAGTTAAATCATGCTGCAGGCAATCCATATGCTGTTTAACTCACCTGACCAGTTAAACTTTGTGCTAATCTTTTCAGTTGATACCACTTTATCTAGAGACATTATTAGGGATTTTAGTATGCACCTGGTAATGCAGGGTTTATTTTAGCTATACTGAGATCCAAGCAACATCTTTCAGATCCCAGAAGGAAGTCAGTCACTAACCTGGGTTTTGTTACAAATTCTCTTTCACAGATCTGACTGAACTTTGAGTCATGACTGGACAGACACTTGAAACTTCCTTCCATACCCCTCAGTCTCCCTTAGGGCTAATTTTCTCCGTCCTGTTCCTCCATTTACTAGGCAAACAGAAGATGGAGAGGTTTCTTTCTTTCTGGGCCTTGAGGAGTGGAGAGAGACTGGGGAAGTTGACCATGTGACTATTGCTATAGTCAGCTTGCAGGTGGCACTCAGCATTCGTGAGAGCTGAGGAAACTGGCAAAAGTGAGAGTTATTTGGACCCCAGTCTTCACAGTCATGCCTGCCCTCTTGTTACTCCTGTGATGTGATCTGTTTCCTCTTGTCAGTAGTTCTCTGCTAAAAAACAATGGGGACCTACCAGACTTTCAACAGGGCTCCCCAGGGACAAAGGACCTTTTATTCTTTGCTGTCTCTTATTTATATCTCTGTTGCCTAATCACTTCAGCTGCTTTGTTCTAAGATCTTATGTTTTTGTTTCTAAGAATCAGTCAAACTTTAATCTGCCTTCTGCACACCTCCCTGGCTGCTTACTTCCCTGAGGTCAGTTATCCATGTAGAATCTCTTAATCATTCTGGCAGCCTCATTCTTCTGTCATTTGTGATGGCTGGTGTCAGGGTTGTGTTTCCCCATCCAGAGTGTATAAAATAAGGCATTTTTGTGAATAACGCCATTCTCTCCAGTACCTGGAGGTCAGTGCAAGGCCAAACTCTGGCTCTACTCTCATCTACCTTGAGCAGCTAGATTGCTTCTGGCTCTTCTGTCCAATGTGGTGTCTAATTGAAGGTTGAATATTCCAGGAATCTCAGTGAAAGCCCCAGGTTGATGGAGCCCGTCAGGCACCATGGCCACACTACTCACACACTCCAGGATCCTCTGCAGAAATACTTAGAAAAGAATATAGGTTGAGCATCTTAATTTGGAAATTTGAAATCTGAAATCCTTCAAAATCTGAAGCTTTTTGAATGCTGACATGACGCCACGAGTGGAAAGTTTCACAGCTGGTTTCATGTGGTGGGTTGCAGCCAAAACTGTTTTATGCACAAAATTATTTTATGCACAAAACTGTTTTATGCACAAAAATGTATAAATTTATCTTCAAGCTATGTTTATAAAGTGTATATGAAACATAAAAGGATTTCATGTTTAGACTTGGATTCATCCCCCAGATATCTCATTATGTATATATAAATATTCAGAAATCCAAAAAACTCTGAAATCCAAAAAAATCCAAAACGCTTCTGGTCCCGAGCATTTCAAAGAAGGGACATTCAACCTGTAGTGATAAGAAGATGCCCAGAGCGGGAGAGGCTTTCTCTCCCAAGCTTTACCATGTCTCATATAGTTGGTTCTTATGTAGGCAGATATATGATAGGATGACAGACAAATTTAGTTCTCTGTGTTTTATTTGTATCTAATAAGATGGAGACAAAGTTTACCTTTTCTTTTTCAGGAAGATAATATAAACAGTCTTATGACCAGTCCAAGTCTCTCTAGCTATGGTAGAGGGTGATCAAGTGCCACTGGCCAAATTCTAATATTATGATAGAAAGACACTGGATCCTATGTTTGATTTTAGGTGGACAGTCGACCAGATGGCTTTGGGGACTCCCGGGAGAAGGTTATGGCATTTGGCTTTGATTACTGCTACTGGTCAGTCAACCCACAGGATCCCCAGTATGCATCTCAAGATGTGGTAATATCATTTATCATTTTTCTTTCACTCTCTTCAGTTCTTTTTTTGTGTATAATGTTTAAGATGTTTATTATAAAGATACTTCTCAAGGTTATTATAGCACAGTTGTACAGATTGGAAGTACTCTAATTGGTACTTTAAGAAAATGTCAAAATAACCAACAAATTTTCAAAAGGAAGAAACTTCAATACATCAAGAAACCAGTGGCCTTTTCAAGGAATCATTTTCATGGTAACATTAACAAAAGAAGCTTATTTCAAATGTAATCTTATTGTGTATTCCTCATTTCTTCATAACTGGATATTCATTGGGAAATTTACATGAAATCTGAGTCCTGGCTATTTCTTATGATACTTTGGTCTGAAACTAATGATGTTTTGGTCTGAGAAATGGTAGTGAGAGTTATCACTTCCAGAAAGAACAAAGAAGGTGGGAAAAGACTGCTTGCCCAGGACATCTAAGTTGGTTAGTGTCCATTTAAGTTTGAGCCTCCTCATGATTCAGGGGGCTATAAGTTAGTTCAGGTAGTGTCCTGCTCCTATGATAGGTGAACGGCCGTGTATTATGTGCAGCACAAGGGAATTATAGAGGCTAGTATCTTCTTTGAACCTTAAGCTTGTACTTGTCCTCCTAGGCAGAGTGGGAAAGGGCTAGACAGCTAGTAAGCCAGCCTGCAAGGTAGGTAGGAGGCAGGTGAATCTATCGATCTGCTGTTTGAGCAGCCAAGGCTTTGCCA